AAAAACTTTGAAAAATTAGAAAAAACTCGTATTGTTTTCCAAAACCTCTAAAAAGGACTTTTTTGCGTATTGTGTCTATAAGTGTCACTTTTCAAGAATGTTGATGAACTTAATAATTATGAAATAGATATTCGAAGTGTTTTCTATTGACAGAATAAAAACCAGTTCATCTGGTGAAATTCTAATGGATACATACAATTTTATTTCTGGTACGTGACTTCGAGCACATTCTCTATAAGAGACATTAATTGCTCATTATAATAAGTATTTCATACAGGTTTTCCGATAATCTCGGTTTTTATGGAACGAGATGGAACCGAAAGTTTCTCGAATGACACAGACTCACGGAGAATCAAATTCTTTACAGAATTGGATGTTTGTGTGCACGATAATTATATTTCCTGAATATGATAAGAATCTCTCTGTCCAAGTACAATTTACAATGGAGAAAGATGAGAAAAAAATATTTTCGTTCTGTTATTTTATATGCATGGCGTGCTGATATATATATATATACCTTTCTCTCCTTCATTCATTAGCTCAGCGTATATAAATGGACAGAACGAAAAACTTTTTCTTCGTTCTTTCGTCACTGTAAACTGTCCTTGAAAAGAGAGGCACTTATAATATTCAGTAAAAAATTATTATCTTGCGCCCAAGCACATCACTTTATAGAAACTTTAATTCTCTGCAAGTTTGTATCGTCCGAAAATCTTTTGAGTTTGATTTTGCTTTCTAAAAACCAAGATTATCGGAAGATCTATATGAAATACTAAATGTAATTAGCAATTAATGTGTCTTATATGTAATGATTCTTAGAAATCAAAGACATGAACCCATGCATTTTGATTTTCTCTATCGAACAAGGCATTTTGAGTTACGATTTCACTTCATCGAACCTGAAAAACTTAAGTTCTCTGTAAAATTCATAGGAGTGCAGATATTTTGAAGTTTTTGAGATTCTTTCAGTATTATTTTCGATTCTAATACATATAAGCATGTAGAGAATTATTCTCTTTATCGAATGATATATAACTCAAAAATATTGTGCTTTAGAACAAAGGCAACACAAAAAGAAAATTACAGGTACCTAAAGAATTCTTTTTGCACAGGAAATGAAGGAGTTTATAGAAAACCTTTTTAAGATAATTATTTTTGTACAATAAAATAGGAACTACGATCTATCCAATGGTACTATCAGAGTTGAGAAAATGTTTTTTCTTCTTTGTAAAATTTGCTTCACAAGACAAGTATTACAGGATGTTCGAAGAATTATTTTACATAGTGTAAACTTACTCGTTAAAGTCGTGCAAAATCTTGTGTGTCCACTACCAGAACAACACTGTAATCTATCGACGTTGTTTTATGCAGGAGAGCAACGTATCGTATTGCCTATTTATACGTTGCGAAATAAATTTTAGCTTTTGCGCATGCGTGGCGATATATATGGATTAATAGAACATGAAATAATAATCAACATGCTACGCTGTTTCATACAAATATTACCGTCGTTTTGCTTACACTATTTTCCTTCATTCACATAGATTAATTGATGACGATGAAGAGTCAGTTGAATGTTCACCAGAGCGTGCACTATACCACGTGATGGCCTATTGTTTTTTGCGCTCAACGCACAGGATCGACACTATGTAACATAAAAAAGCACTTTGGTTATTTCTTACGCCATTATTTAAAAGTTGCTCGTCTTCCTCTTGTTTATTTATTATAGTAATAGATGGAGCTACAAAGAAATTTTCGTTTAGTCTTATTGAATTTAATATTGAAATTTTTCCTCATCTTTTTTGATTTTCAAGGTTATTTTTAATACATACTTTCTCCACTTATTCTTACTGTATATTTAGATCTCATTTCAAATATAATTAGTTAATTAACTGGTTTATTTAATATATTGAAAAGATTATTTGAGTAGTATGACTATTGTCACTTTCTTCGTCTTATTTTACTTGTAGAATAATTTTATGTTGTAACAAACAAGTCTTGGTAAATCATTTGATAAAACATTATTAACACTCGGTGTTGCAAATACTCAACATTAACAAATTTTAAACGATGAATCTAGTTTATTTAGTGATAAAGCTAAAGCTTTTACTCAAGAGAGGGAAATAATTGTTGTTGATAGAATTTAAACAAATATTATTATTGATTTTACGTCATATAGCTTCTTATTTACATGAACAAATTCTTGAAAAAGTAAAACAAAGTCAATCAATCGATAAGAAAAAATTTTAAAATTAAGAATAATGGCATTTTTGGCTGTTTAGGTTGGATGATTGATGAAAGCACTTCTTGGATTGTAGAAACAAGTCTCATTATCTATGTCAGATATTTCAAAAGTGGTGCATCTAAAACACAAGTAACGTTCATCAACATTGAAAGTTGATTCACTGGGCCCTAGACTGACGGAATGATAAGAAAGATGTCCTTATATTTTTGCATAAAAATGAGTTCTGTGCAATGATGGCTTTTAGAGGAATTATCAACTTTTGTAACATGTTCTACATTACATACTATCGATATAGTCAAACAGTTGACAAAAGATATTGAAAGATGCCAATGTATATGATAAAGTTTATGCTTTAGTTGATTATAACGAATAAAAGTGGTGATTTCGGCCATAGAAATGGTCATTTCTACCTCGAACATAGCCAATCATGACACAGAAATGCTTATTTGTGCCATATGAATGGTCAACTGTGCCATAGAAATGGTTGATTGTGCCGTGGAAATGGTTGATTGTGCCGTGGAAATGGTGGATTGAGCCACAGAAGCTGTCATTTATATCATGAAAATGGCCGATTGTGCCAAATAAATGAACATTTTTGCCATAAGAACGGTCAGTTATGCCACGGAAATGGGCAACTGTGCCACAAGAGTGGTCATTTTTCCTACAAAAATGGTCATTTGTTTTCATTTTGACAAGTCAACACGATTGTGTTATTTATATATATATAATAATAAATGAGAACAATAATGAACAAAATAAATAATAATTTTTTGTGTTATTTTAATTTTTTAATTTTATTTTTTTTTAACTACTTTTATTATTCGTAATAAAATAGAAAAATAATAAGAGAAGAATGAGAAAAAACAAAAGGAAGAGAAACAGGTGTGGGTGTGGGTGAGAGTATTATGCGCCAATGACAACAGCACCCATTTCTACAGTCACAGCCACACCCCACACCCAACAACACTCACACCCTACACTCACACCCACATCCACACCCACACCCATCCACACCCACCCACACTCACACCCCACACCCACACCCATATTATTAATGAACATGATTGCTGATCTTTTGCTTTTGTCGGCTAGTGATGAAAGAGCCACAGCGTGGTAGAATTTTTACTGCATTTTTTGTTCAAGATTCAATCAGGAATATGTGTTCGATTGAATTACTTTATAATTCATGTCTGTCATGGACTTCATTGAAAGGAGAAACCTTAGAAACTTGGGTGTGGGTGTGGGTGGGTGTAGGTGGGTGTGGGTGGGGTGTGGGTGTTGGTGGGTACGCGTGTGGCGTATGGGTGTGGGTGTGGGTGTGGGCGTGGGTGGGTGTGCGTATGGGGTGTGGGTGTGGGTGGG